TTTAGCTGAATGATTAAACTGCTGTCAGGAGTGGTTGGCTCATGCCTGGAAAAGCAGATGCATTTGGGATCCTGCTGCCTGCTCGCATCTTGGTGGCGGTTTCCAGAAAATGTGGGAGAAAAGAGTGGCCAAGAGTTAAACACCAGAGCCCTCCTGGACACGTGGGAGCAGATGAGGTTGGGTTTCTCCGGGCTTTGCTTTGCCTGGAGGGGAGACAAAGCCAAAGCAGAGCAGGAGAAGGGCAGCTCCAGGCACTGGTTTGAAACCAGAGGCTGTTTGTGGGGCCTGGGCACAGGAAGGCAGAGGTTTTGTCAGCTGTGTTCCCTGTGATGCATATTAAAATACAGCTAATGGATCAGCAGGGCTGTTTCCTCTCCCCGCTGGGCTCTGTCACTGCCGAGCCTGAGGACACCCCGATCATCTTCTCTGCTTCTCTGCTGGTTTTAAAGCAAGGACTTAAGCCACCCCCATTCCAGCAAATCCTGTTGAGTGGCAGAGGAGTCCACAGGATGGTGGGGAGGGAAAGGGAAGGATGGGGAGGCTTCGCTGGGGCTGCAGCTGCTGAAGTGATGATGGAGAGGCAGTTGCCCATAAATAATGTACAACTCAGGTTGGGACGGAGGACAGGGCAGCCCAAAGAGGTACCCACCACTAATCAAACATGATAGCCCTTCCCACTCCAGCCTGGGGAGCAGGAGGGGATGCTGGGTGCTTAAAATTGCCAGTGATGGCCCAGGAAAAGCAGCACCACAGCACCGACCCGTGCCCAAACCCCATCCCATCAAACCCAATCCCCCTCCGACACTGGCAGGGACTGACCCCTGCCCAGAGCAGCCCTGTCCTGCGTGGCAGCTGGAGATGGGATTTAAAACATCCAGAACCCAGGGAAACACCCCCTAATTCTGTTTACAGGGCTCAGCTACTCATTTCCGAAGCTGATGAATGAACACGGTCAAAATATTTAGAGGGGGAAGCTACAGGAGCTTGGGTTGGTAAAAGATGGGCTGCTTTGGTGGGGCTCAGGTCCTGCTGGAACCCTCCCGTGGTCCACAGCAGCGGCAGAGCTGCCCCAGCTCCACAGCTGCTTACGCAAGAAGCAGGAGGAGACCGCGTGGGTCTTTAGTGATGCAGCATCTGGAAAGGAGGAGAATTGCTGCTACGTGACCAGCGAGCCACGGAGAGCAGCTCAGGAGCCAAGAGGGAGGGCAAAGAATAGAACAACTCAGCATCTACTGCGGGATTAGAAAATAGATTCAAGGAAAAAGCTTCGCGGCCGCCCGCTCAGGACATCAGGCATTTTGTCTCTGCAAGACATTTCGAAATAATCACATTCCTCTTTTAATGCAAGTTACAGTCACATTTTGCATGAGGACGTCTGCCTTCGCAGCAGTCTTTGCCAAGGCAGGAAGGTGCTCAGGTTGATTGTAGCCCCCTGCCCCTGGGTGATGCTGTTTGTCCCAGGAAATGCCCTGAGTGGGGTTTGGGGAGAGGAGGGGGATCACAGGCAGGGGGGTCACCATACAGCCCCAGCTCCCCCGAGACATGACCAGCAGAAGAACAAATATTATTTAAATGCCCACAAAAGGCTTTTTGTGAGGTTTTTTTTTTTTGTTTTTTTTTTTTTTCTTGCCTTGAAGGAAATGGGGTCCCCTGCCCCGGGAGCCCCCTGCGGATGCAGCCCCAGCCCCAGGCTCAGCCCGGCGTGGGCTCTCCCCGGCCATATGAAAGACATCACCCCTCCTCTGCATCCCACCCGGGGTTGGGTTACCCTGTAGTAATTCACTTACAGTTAGCAAACGATAAATCCTTGCACAGTTGGTTGAGAAATCTGGGCTAAGAAGGTATGGAAGTGTATTATTAAATCCAAATGGCTCTGCAGCCCAAGCCTGTCTTACTCACTTCTTAGCAAAATTAACAATATCACGGGGCATGATAAAGTGCAGGGCTGTAATTGCTGTTCCCCAAATACACCTTAAATAAAGTGATAGCTTTTTCGGTGAGGTTTTTAGCCTGATGTTAACTGAAATCTCCAGTATTTTTCTTCCGTTTCAGTGTAACTCCTTAAAGTCCTGTCCTTTTCTGTTCAGGGTGGCTGGTGGCAGGATGGGGACTTCAGAGGGAGCCTGGGGCTGTCCCTGACACTGGTACCAATCACAGCTTCGCAAAGCAATTTGGAGGGGGGGCTTTTTTTTGGGTTTTTTTTTTTTGTTTTTTTTTTTTCTCTTGCCTTGAAGGAAATGGTGTCCCCTGCCACGGGAGCCACCTGCGGATGCAGCCCCAGCCCCAGGCTCAGCCCGGCGTGGGCTCTCCCCGGCCATATGAAAGACATCACCCCTCCTCTGCATCCCACCCGGGGTTGGGTTACCCTGTAGTAATTCACTTACAGTTAGCAAACGATAAATCCTTGCACAGTTGGTTGAGAAATCTGGGCTAAGAAGGTATGGAAGTGTATTATTAAATCCAAATGGCTCTGCAGCCCAAGCCTGTCTTACTCACTTCTTAGCAAAATTAACAATATCACGGGGCATGATAAAGTGCAGGGCTGTAATTGCTGTTCCCCAAATACACCTTAAATAAAGTGATAGCTTTTTCGGTGAGGTTTTTAGCCTGATGTTAACTGAAATCTCCAGTATTTTTCTTCCGTTTCAGTGTAACTCCTTAAAGTCCTGTCCTTTTCTGTTCAGGGTGGCTGGTGGCAGGATGGGGACTTCAGAGGGAGCCTGGGGCTGTCCCTGACACTGGTACCAATCACAGCTTCGCAAAGCAATTTGGAGGGGGAGGCTGCAACCTCTGTGGCAATAAGAATCCTTTAAAAGGTGAATTTCAGACAACAGCACTAGCTTTAAGATACGCTCAACAGGCATCGTGCAGGTGGGACCATGAGTCCCTCAGCTTCCAGATGCGGGATGCTCAGAGGTGCCTCCTCCATTTCTCATGGCCAGGAAGAGACGTGTGAGCCAGCCCTTGGTGGGTCTGTTCCTCACAGCCAGCATCATGCTCAAGTGAGCTGCTGCCATCAGCCAGCTATAATACAGAGCGGAAAAGAGCAGAAAGCTGCTAAGTCCTGACATTTGCCCCTTATCATCAGACATTTGTGCTGGCTTATGACTTTCTGTTTATCTCCCAGCTGAGCTGCTGGCTGTGTCACTAAGCAGTAACCTTATCTGTTCAGCCCGTCCAAAAATAGTCCGGGTTCAGGTCAGCACAAAGACAATCATATTTTGGCCTTTGCTTCAGAGGGAGATAAAGACTCGAGGATGAAAACCCAGTGACTCTGTTGGCTCTGACTTGCAGTGAAAATGCCTGTTGGTCTGACTTGTTCATCCTCATCTATGTCCGCATTTTAGTCACACAGATGCAATCACTTCCCTCGGCCTGGATGACTTCTTCAGAGGCTGAGGGTCTGCCAGGAGCCCAGTGCAGCCCCCAGAAACCATCAGAGCTCCTCACTAGCTTGAGTGGAGTGACCTACTCAAGGTGGCAGGGGTGTGAATCCCATGAGCACCAGGGCTTTGGTAACAGCTTTGCTCCACAATGTCAGAAAGAGAAAGGAAAGAAAAAGTATGAACTGGCTCTTTGCTTCCATATTTTCATTAAATATTCTGGTTCTGCTGACACACAATGAATGAAAAATATGAATCAAGGTGATCCGTCCTGTAAAACACCCACTCTCTGGCCAGATCTCAATCCGTGCCCCATCCAGACTTGCTAAGAGGCTTGGAAGGATTTAGGTTAACTTTTTAAGATCTGTTTTTGCCAGCCTCTGTGTCTTTTGGCTTGGCTTAGGTCCAGAAGGAGCCCTGATGAAGGCACTGGATGGAGCGTGTGTTTCCAAGGACGGTGGCGAAAGGATGTGGCCTCAAGTTTGTTTGCCAGCTTTTGGCATAAGTAGCCTGTATCTGCAGGCTGAGGAGCTGCACTCTTGGGTCCTGGATGGCAACGGGTCCTTCTGCACACATTTATCATGCAGGGAATTTCACTCACATCAGAAATCCCAGGGACTTCTGTGGGTCATCCTGCATGAGCAAGGCTGCCTGAATGAAAAAATGATTGTGGATTTGGGATGTCACCGAGGTGGCTGCTGGTTTTCTGGGATTTCTGGGAATCAGGTTCAATCCTGATGTGGTGACTTTCGTATGATGTGACCGAGTCACATCACGGCTGATGCCACTCCAGTGTGTTTTTCATAGAAAACATCCATATTAGGGGTTGATGCAGGTGATGTTGGGTTTTCTATCTGTAAATCATTGCTTTGTGCAGCTCCGTCCTGCAGTGCTCCTGGTCCACACCTGGCCAGCCCCCTGAGCACCTGAATTATTTTAAACATATGGTAAAGCCCATCTCCCTTCAGCAAAGCACTGACCCACGTGCTTCACTTTTAGCTTAAATTCACAGGGCTGTATCTTAAATCGATGGGGACATTCAATCAATTGGATTTTTTCCTTCGTAAGGACTGTAGGGCCAGAATTTAATAGGGAAAGTCAGGGGGGTTTCTCCTAAAGACTTCGTTTATAAAAATGAATATTATAGCATTGTTTTCAAGCTTATTAACTGTGTCATACTGTTATTACTTTCAGTCATTTTTTTAGAAAACAAATAAACAGCAAGTATTTGTCAGTCTCAGCAATAAACTATAGTGGCAGCAAACTTAATCTGGTGTTAATTAGGCTTGTGGAAAACTAAATCAAGCATCAGAAACCACAGATTATTTTAGGCTTCCTCTAGCATAAACACAAAGGCTTGAGGATCCATAACATATTATTTTTGTTGACAGTTTTCCACTTTTCCCCCAATTTATTTCATGTATCGGATAGGCTGCTCCTTGATTGCTTTTAGCTCTGTCTTCTTTTGGCCTCGGTGTGGCAGTTTGTTAATCCTTCCTATTTTTGTGTATTTAAGCAGGATTACAAACTTCAAATACATTGTAAAAGGAACCTGTATACAATCTTTCAAAATCACTTAAGTGGGCCAATGACAGAAGTACCAGACTTGCAAGCAAATACAGAACATTTCGGAAATCATCCCCAGTGTTTATTTATAAGCCATTTTTAATTACTCAGCAGGAATGAATGAAAGAACTAGAAAATGGAAAACGACAGAGGGTTTTGCATTAAGTTACAGCTCACGGAGAACAAGGGAGTGATCGCTGTGCTTTCAAGTCTAGATGGTTTTGGTGTATAATTATGCTCTGCCGGTTTATCGACAAGCTAATAAAATTAAACTGTGACCTATTTTGCAAATAGCACTGGGATCTCTTGCAAGGCTCCGCGGGGCACAGAGCCATAGCAGATGTCTCCATCTGGGGAGCAGCAGGTAAAAGAGATGGGTAAGTCACAGAAAACTCACTGAACGATGAATTTAGGGCCACAGAGGGTGAGGGAGCTCACTCAGCCACAAAGCCAAGATGAGGGTGCCCACGTTCACCCTCAGCACCCGCATCCGGCAAGGTGGAGCTGAGTCAAGGACATCACAGGGGGCAAGAAGAGCACCCAGAGCTCCCTAAATCCGTATGAAATGGGAACCACGAAGCTTCAGAGCGGGGCTGCAAAGAAAACGGAGCTGGCAGTAACTTGGTCAGAAACCATCAGGCTGCTGGGCCGTAACGTGGTTAGGATTTCTTCAAGCTGCTTCCCAAGCTTCAGCCTCCAAAGCCATCCTTGCACCCGTGGCTGGAATTTGTGGCACGTGCCACTCCCTGAAGGACCATCTTGCCAGCAAGTGTTCTTCTGGGAAGGATCATTAGTGTGGTACTTTAAAATAAGTGCAGACACAGCAGTTATTCAGGGATTTCAGCAGCTCCCAGCTGCTGGCTGTAGGCTCAGGAGCAATTTGGTGATGCTGTGACACCATATTGAGGACAGGGACAGTTGCAGAAGACAGCTTGAGCAAGGTTGGGGTGGTGGGTTTCCTCTAGATACAGGACTCCCTGCCCTAACAGGACAGACATCCCTTTGGAAAAACTCTGTCCATTCCCAGCATCAAACCAGAATGTTTTGTGGATTGATCCCAGGGCCGAAGTGACGGAGCAGGCACACGAAGTGTTGGTGTATGTCAAAGTGTCCCTGGAGCTGCATCCCTGGGACTTCCATGGCTGCAGCATCACACAGTGACACACAAAACAGGGCACATGGTGTCACAGGAATTCAAGGATCAGTAAATGGGAAAAAAGCATATAAAATTCCAGTTTACATGAGACTGATGAATAATTAATCAGTAACAAATAAAAGAAAAAAAAAAACATACATGAAAGAAACTCAATCTTCTTTCTAAAATCCCGACTCAGCAGACGAAGATGAAGAGCAGCACGTCCCCACCAAATATGAGATGAGCCCACAAAGATTTGTTCTGACCATTAAGGCACAAGGATGGGAAATCTCTTACAGATGACGGTGGTTTACTCAACAGCTTGAACACATTCCTTGTCTCGTTATTCAGCAGCGAAGCTGGAGGTCAACCTGTCTCAGACGAGCTGACGTGTTGTGCAGACAGATGGAGCAAAGTTCTCCACAAGCTGCTGTGACCAGCTGGGAGAGCACACCGGTTAGAAACCAAAATTCAGTGCTTGCTGTGCTTACATGTTTTATTTATCATTTATAAGTAAGTGTATGGTTCTGACAAGTGCCATTTAAAGCTTGCTCATTCCCAAAAGTAGGGAGTCAATACCGTGTCTCCTTGTTCAATGAGTTTTCCTACCAGGCTGGAGGGTGAATGAGATTAGTGCCAACAAATCCAGGAGGAATCCCAATTTACCACCTCTGAGGAGAGGCAACGGCTACCCTCAAACTGCCAGGGCACCATGGTTTCTCTTCTGGCTTCCTCCAAGCCCTCTCTTCTTCCTTCCCCTCCAGCATCACCTGAACCAACTCCAGATGGGATTCATCTCATCTGTTACCAAATACCACGAGTGTAAACATCATCTGAATTAGATGTTCTGAATGTTCAGATGTTCAGATGTATCTGGGAAACATATATTACGCATACACCTTCACCTGGGCATGGTTTTCTTTGCAATTCAGTCTGTAAGACATTTGGGTGAAGCAACAGTGGGTTGGGAATAATAACAAGCGGTGGGGCAATTTTTCGCCTTAAGCAATATCCAATTTCTGAGGCTGCTGCTTCCTTGCTTATTTAAAAAAGACTTGCGGGTATTAAACCTGGGGAGTGCACTGAGGGGAAATCTCAGCACAGATAGTTATTTCCCCTTTCTCAGTGCCAAAACCCCAGTTTCAGGATAGCCCAAAACGGGGAGTTACAAGGATATATCTACAACAGCCCTATGTACACCGTACATTAACACACTCAGACACCACCAGCACCACCAGTACAGACCCCACTTTCCCCCAGTGTTGATCCTTCCTTGAGTTTCTATTCCCATAAAAGTTAATATTAGAATGCCTGAGAAAGAACGAAGCGTTCATTTATCGGGACAAGATGGTTTTCAAGCTGATTTGCATTAATTTTGAAAGTAAGAATTTTTTTCTTTTTGTTCCCGTTTCTTTCCAGGAAAAACTGAAGTCATACGAGAGCAAACCCTGCCTTGCCTGGTTTTGATCACTTGGCATATTTAGAACCAAACTCCTCAAAGTAAATATTTCCTATGAAGGTCATTAAGGGTGCGACCAACATGTAAGGAGCAGCAACAGGAAAATACTGCTTTAAACCTAATACCACATCATGCTGCATTCACTAGTTACTTGACATTGTAGCTGGAACAGGAAAAAATAAAAAAGGCATGGGGCAGAATGATATTTCAGCTTGTCAAATGCTTCTGAATCAGTACAATTACCCCCTTCCCCCCCCCCCAAAAAAAAATTGCAATAGTTGTCCATGTGTTTAGCAAAGGCAGGAGCTGCCTGTGTGCTCTTTACTGGCTGGGTGCAGGAAAGGAGGAGGGTCAGAAAGCTCGTGCTCAGCTCCTCACCATGCCAGAAGTTGGCATGGGTACCCGAGATGCCGTTTCTGGGATGATGCCTTGCTCCCTGCATCACACAAGAAAAATAATAATTTTACCAGGATAAAGAGAAATAATAATTTTACCAGGACAGCCCAATCCTGGAGCTGCATCATCACCTCCCAGGTGGCAGGGCCAGGAGGTCCCAGGGCTACCTGGCTGGTTGGGGTGGACGAGCAGGCAGGGAGCACCCACGGATGCCAGCCACTCCTGCCAGCCACTCCTGCCCAGGACGTGCTCTGGGAAACTTGCCAGCTCCCACATGCTAAAAACCGGCCTTATTTTATATTTAGCAAATAAAAAAAAAAGAAGATGACGCATTCCCACATGGTGCTGGAGGAAGGAAGATAAGGCAGCCATCCCCCCTCCTCCCCGCAGCACAAGGAAAGCCATTGCTTTATCTGGAGGAGGCAGGGCTGCCCAGCTCCTGCTCCCAGGAGGCACGGTGCCAGGGATGGGTTTTTTTAAGAAATAACACAGCAGTTTCACTGCAGAGAGAGTGGCCAAATGGCCCTGGGCGCGAGCAAAGTGATGCCCACCCTGGCCAGGCTTCAGCGCTTCGCTGGCTGGTTACACCTTCCCACTTGTAAACCAGCTTTTTAATTAGAATTTCTGCTAACACATCAAAAATAATTCATAGTAATAATAATAATAATAATAACAATTTTGCTGCGCTTCGCACCATGGATGCAATTCTCAATGAATGACTTAAGGAGGCTAGATAAGAGATGCCAGCCAAAACTGAATGCCAAATCCCACATTTTTGCTAGAGGTTTTTCAAAAAAATGTGCTCAAGCACTACCCTATTAGATGGAAATACTCAGGAGGTCAGGATACTCGGGATATGTCATAATTATCACAGCTCTGTCTACTTCTCTAGGCTTTCCAGTGTATTAAATTGAACTTAGGCTGCATGTGAGTGAGCCGACTCCTTGGGCATCACTGGTTATGGGGGCTGGTTAGGAAATGCACGTTTTTAATTAATTAATTAATTTCACTCCTCGTGAATTTGCTTTACTTTGCCACAAGATGGAGCCTTGAGATTAAACCATTTGTTTGAGGTTTGATTGTTATTAAAAAAAAAAAAATTAAGACAGATGCGTGTTTAATTTTCTCAGATGATTATCTGTGGGTTTTTTTTTTTTTTTAATGAATCATATTTTTCATCATGTCTTATTAGTCAGGTATGAGGAAAGTCTGAAGACTCTGCCAAAATAGGTGCCACTCTGGCATAACTCAGGAGAGGAAGATGTTGAACAATGCAGCTTTTCTTCTTCAAGAAGAAATCACGCTCCAATATCATGCAATATTCTGGGAGGGGATGAGGTGGAAGAAGAAAGAGCACTTTGTGGAAAAGCTGAGGCACGAATGAGGGATAAAAGGAAGATATTTGGGAGGCAGAAGGCTTTTTTATTTTTTTCTCCTTTACCTTGTGGTTCAATTTTACTTCTGCAAAATCCCCTAGTTATGTATCTCATAGTTATTTCTGAAGAACAATAGAAAATTTTCAATGCAAATATTTTACTGAGTTTCAGCATTTGGTATCAGCAGCAGAATTTAAAAGAGAGAGCCATCCCAGCAACATGTTCCTCCCTGACCTTTGTCAACAGGCACTTCCCCAAAATATAAAGCCTATGTATATAAATTTCATTTCCCTTTTGATTTCACTTCCCTTCAGCCTGGGGGAATCGAGCTTTTTGTTTTGCCAGTGCTTTTCTGGTGGGTTGTTTTCTGCTTTCTATTCAAAGTTATCGTGGAAAAACTGGGAAGAGAAGTGAGGTTCGGATTTTTCTCTGAGGGCAGCTGAGCTCGAGAAAAGTCTCCGAAAGTGGATTTTACAGGAAAAGAAAACCAAAACCTTCTGCATTTGGGCGTCACCCCTGAGAGTGATAGTTGCAGGGCTCTTGTGGTCCCCGCCCCTGCAGGGACTTGGGCCAGCAAAGAGAAGAGTTGGAGGAGAAAGAAATTTTGAATCCAACTCCGAGTTCAGCAGAAGGCAGGGTCCGATAAGGCACATTCTGCTTTCTGCATGGGTTTTTTTTTGTGTGTTCAGGAGTGACAAGGAAATGTCTAAATTCAGAGAGGGGAAGGCAGATTGACAAATGCTGTTAAGTAGATAATAAGCTGATTAATAACAACCCCCCCCCCCGGCTCTGGTCTTCACTGGGAGCCAGGGCTTGCCTGGGTCACTGCGAGGACCATCCTCAAGGTAAGCAGGATTAGCCTTGTCCACATGGCTGTCCACAGTCTCAAAGAGCTTATCCAGCAGCCCCCAGGTGACAGTAGACAATATTGAAGTGTCTGTGGACTTCTTGTCCTCCTCACACCTCTGCCTGGTCTCCTATCTCCTCCTGTGTGTGGATCCCAAAGGAAGGGGGTGGATCAACAGTTTGAATTCCACCCTTAGCATGGCGAAGTCTAGATCGGGGCAGAGCAGCAAAGGCCTGAACCCCAGATGCTTGTGATGGGCTGAGTGGAGAGAATGAGGTGGTGCTGGACCAGCACATCCATTGCTGTGGGCAACACCACGCTGGTTTTCACTCCTCCAAGCTTCCCAGATGCTTGTGATGGGCTGAGTGGAGAGAATGAGGTGGTGCTGGACCAGCACATCCATTGCTGTGGGCAACTCCACGCTGGTTTTCACTCCTCCAAGCTTCCCAGATGCTTGTGATGGGCTGAGTGGAGAGAATGAGGTGCTGGACCAGCACATCCACTGCTGTGGGCAACACCACACTGGTTTTCACTCCTCCAAGCTTCCCACTACTCCGCAAGCCAGTCTGCTGCCATCCCTCCTGCAGAGCTGTGGGGTGACAGCTGCCTGTCACCTTGTTGAGGAGCAGGCAAATTCACCTGGTTGGTTTTTCACATGGAATAGGCCCCATTCCCCTGCCCGTCGCAAGCTGAGGAGCGTGGTTCCACTGGGAGAGGCTGGGAAGAGAACAGGGACCTTGCTGTGGCCACCACGGGGGCAGGACCAGGCAGGCGTCCTGCAGGCAGCTGGAGGATGCCGCAGGGTCCAGGCGTTGGGTAATCCCAACCCAGCAGCTCCACCCTTGGAGAGGTCTGTGTCTTTTATAGATAAAACGCCAACGCCCTTCCGTGTGGTTTTTTGTACCAGCTCCATTTTATGAAAAAAAAAAAAACCCAAACCAAACCCACAAAAAACCCAGTTGAAAATACTGACTCAGTTGTACCTGTACCCAAACCTGCACTTTCAGGCCTTGTAAATAATTTCTTTGCCTTTATCTGTTTTCTAATGGCAGATGTCGGTACTTCCTCAGCAAGTCGGGGGCTCAAGGAGACAGTGCTCAACTTGAGGACACTGAGGAGACTTCCTGACCATAAACAAGGCTCCGAAACCGCCCTCGGTCCAACGCTGCCTGGTGGCTGCAAGAGCTTGCACGAAGGGTCAGAACGGATATCTGAGGGGCAGAATATTTTGAGAGAGCTCTGGATTTTACGTTGCAGCAATACTTCCTTCCCTCTCCCCCCTTCCCCTAAGTCCTGCCCTGCACTGGTTTCTCTCTTGTGCCCCTTGTTCTTCTCGCCTCCCCAGCTCTTTCCCGTGGCCAGGAATTTCCCAGCCCCTCCTGCCTTGCTGTTCAGACCGATTAAAACACAGAGAACAACTTCTTTACAACCAACCTTCGTTACAAACAACCTGTGCTGCAGTATCTTTGGTGGAATGACCATTTCCAATGTCTGCCTGACGGAAACCAGGACTGAGGCTGCACCTTATCCTCTCAGCGCAGTAATTGAACAGCAACTGGCCTCAGTTAATATTATTTTTCAATAAGTCTTGAAATGAACCAGACACAGTTCTGCTAATTAAGGTGAAAAAGCAGCTCATCCAAGAAATGGAAGCAATGTTCTCAGCAAGCAATTCCAAAGATATATCTATTTGTTATACTCTGCGTGTTTATTATTATCCCCAGGAGGTTGTACAGGATAGAAGTGGAAGAACTTCTAATGCTGTCTTTAATTTCCGTGGCATCTTTTCATATCAGCAAACTCCATCCAACTCTGCCAAATGAAAGTAGCTAAATTTCAGGAGAGCAGTGGTGAATACTTGTCACAGGGTTAAATCTGCATTCAAGACGGCATCATCTCCAGGCCTCCAGCATATGGCACAGAGTAAAGGGGACACAGTAGGGGAGATCATGTCCTTCACTAATGGGAATATTCACTTGGGAAGGAGGAGAAGAAAATAACCCAGTAATAAGGTCATCGTTCTCCTGACGGCCCCATGGGAAAGTCAAGTAGTACTAAGACTGAACTAATTTTCCTGCTGAGCGTGACAGGCATGTGGACTCCTCTTCACATGGAAGCAAAAGCAGCAGGCTGCCAACAGTAGAAGCAGCTCGAATCCCTTCAGAAAACACTAGAAATCCCAGGAGAATAGTCTGCGAAAAGTCTTGAGTCCTTTGGGCAAATGGTCCTGTGGGAATTCCCAAGGCACGTATTTCGAGATGATTGTTGCATGAAGCTGGGACATAATTTAGTTCCTAGTTTATCCCAGCATTACCAAAAGATGAAACGTTGCACCATAACTGTTGAGAACTGCATTTCTCTTGTGATGCAATCCTTAGAGAAGTGGAAATAAATACACTGCTGCCTCGGCATGGTTCCTTCTTCAGGACAACTGCATCACCACCTCCAAGAAATGGGCCCGAGCACTGAAACAATTGACACTAGAAAGAGCTACTAAAATTTGCAGAAGGACAGAGATTTGTTTACTCTGATAAAAGGGTCACATTCCTGGAAACCCTTCATCCTATACGCTCAGTTGCATAGCAAAGGAACAGCCCAGAGTTAGAACTAGGGCAGTGGGAACATAATCTCCTCCACACCATTGGAGTTAAGAGACGTGAAGGTATGAAAGGAATGGAAATGGTGCCAAGGAGTAGCGCCAACACATTCCAACACAGGACTTTGGGTGTAAATATTCCAATCAGCCCGTAATAGAGTTGATTTTTAATTTTTTTAAAATATTAATTAAATGAAGCAGAAACTCAGAACGTTTTACCTAATCACTACGTCCACTGTGGTGGCCCGGCGGAGTGGCCGATGGAAAAAGCAGCAGAGCCTCAGCCCAGAGAGACGTGAGTAACCTCTGGGCCAGCAGAAAGCCCTGAGGTACAGGTGGGAAAAGTGGCAGATCCTGCACGTGGGTCAGGAAAAGCCCCTGCCCTTGTACAGGCTGGGAAGCTGCTGGGTGAGGAACAGCCCTGCCGGAAAGAACCTGGGGATTACAGCAGATGCCAGGTTGAGCATGAGCCAACAGCGTGCTCTTGTCTTCAGGAAGGCAAACCACAGCCTGGGCTACATTAGGATGAGGGAAACTATTCCCTCCTTCTTCTTATGAGACCTGGAGGCTGCAATACGTGCAGGACCCTCCCGCACCTCAAGAAGGACATAGAGACACCAGAGAGGACCCAGTGAAAAGACAACAAAATAGTCAGGGGTCCAGAGTGAGACCTGAGCTACAGCAAGACCTGGTGGAGCTGGGTTTGTTATTCTGAAGGGGAGGCCAGAGGGTGACCTGAGAGCTGCCCACAACTACCTGAAGGGCAGTTACAGAGATGCCAGGACCAAACTCTTGTCAGCAGTGCCAGAAGATGGAAACAAGGTGCAAAGGCCACAAATTGTGGCTTGGGACACAGAAGTTGGACATTAGGGAAAAAAATCAGTAGGAAGATAGTGTAGTACTGGATTAGGTTACCGAAGCAGGTTGAGGAGTCTCTGTCCTTACTGTTTTTCAAGATTCAGCAACACAAAATCCAACCTAATGTTGGTTGTAGTCCTACTTTGGAGGATGGACTAAAAGACAACAGAATTCACTTCCAACTAACATTCCCATGTTTCTGCGAACTAAAATTCAGGCTAATGCATGTCTTTAACATTAACTTGGTGAGACCAATATATCCTAAATTTTGTCTTTCTTTCTTTCTAAACTGGGGGGCTTCATACAAAAGTGCAATAGAAGAAAACTATCATCTTTTAGGGACTTCTTAATTCTGCTCCTTCAAAGCGCAAATGCTGTTCACTCTGCTGCCTGCTGGAGACCCAACACATTCAAAAATAGCATCACATGGGGTCCCATCAAAGACTTCTAGCATCACCAGGTGTCTCCTCAGTATGAAGAGATTTCTTGGAACAGCAAAATAAAGTACCACAAGTTATTTCCCGTATCGTGATGTGGTATCTACCATCTGAACAGAAAACACGTTCTGTGGTAAATTCTGTATTCTATAAAAATGGTGTAGACAGTAGATTTGCTTTCCCTTAGAAAAGGGGGGGAAAAAAGCCATCTTCTCAAAACTAATACATTTTTTAAAAATTAACAATTTTCTTAGGATCTGTTTTGACAACATAATATTTCACACGTGGATGAAACTCAGTCTGTTTATGTATGGGCTTGTGTCTGCAGGAGCCCTGGGGTGTCTCATCACGCTTCTTCCTCTCTGCACCACGGAGAGGAAACTCGTGTGTGTGTGTGTGTGTGTTTGTGTGTGGATGATCACAGGCTTCTTCTGCTCTGAGTAGCAAAAAGGAAACCCAAGCTGGGCTCGACAGACCCGCGTCCTCCAGAGCCAGCTTCCACCGTCACCCAGGGGCACACTTTGTTGGGGCTTTGCCTCTCGGAGCTGTCGGTCCCTGTGCTCACAGATAAACACCGCAACAGGATACGGCTGTCACCTGGGCTGCCCCTTAACAGCAAATCTGAACCCTCTCGCCCAACTTCTCTGACAATCTGCAGGGAAAAAAAAAAAAAAAAGAAAAAGCAACAAATCTCTTTAACTGACAATATTTGAACTCAGGGCTGCTGTTAGGACAGGTGTTCTGCGGTATTTCTATTTTTGTCAGTGTAGGCTTCACACAGATGAAAAGGAACACCTGTATTCTAAAAAAATGCCCATAGGAGTAGAGGAGGGTGAAGCTGGTTCATTTTCCACAAGTGCTTCTTTTTTCGAAGGTTCACATTATTTCATAAGGTAAAAGAAGCAAAAGGGCAGTGTAACTGGTGGCAAAAAATGGTAATGTATTCTTTCTCGTAGCAAGCACGGGAGTGATTTTTGTCAGAATTAATGGGCTGAAGTTCAGTAGGTAAGGTGATACAGTAAAATACTTTATTCTTTAAAGTTCTTAGAAATTATTTATATTGTTATGATATCTAAAATACACACTTGCTCTTATTTAAATAGAAAACTGACAGAAAGTAGGGAGGTATTTGCAGGAAAGGTGCCTCTATAATTTTCTCATAGCTTTTTTGCCAACTAGGTACTACCAGTTCCAATTCTGATATACTTCTGCGTGATTAACAAAACTCTGCTAAAGCCCTTGAGAGACTCACCTGTGATTTTTAACCCTAGCTCCAAAACCTTCTATAGCCTCTTACCGCACTGCTCAGACTGGGTGCCCAATTACACCATCCTGTGAATAAGAAAACTCTCCAGCTGGAATGTTGTCTCGCTATAAATCCTTTATTAATGTCATATTAACAGGTAGAACTACTTAATATGCAAGGGCATGCAACACACACGGATGTAAACAACCAGACCAAACTAGAGCTCTCATTTCCTTGGCTTCTTTCAGAACTGTGTCTTCACTGGAAGCTTTAATCAATGTTTTAACCAACGATGTGCCCACAAAGCAGTTGTTTTCGTAGCTCAGGAGCACTGTCCTTATAGGTGTTATTTTGATGAGGCCAGAACAGAGGTGCTCTTGTGTGCACAGCCGTATCGACACGTTGTGAAGTAAAAACCCCACATAACAAGTCAAACAAGCTACACCAGTCACTGCACAGTTCTGACAGCACATTGGGAGAGCTCTGCCAACACAGCTCTGTGGGTCTGGGAACGTCTTCCCACAGCCACCACTTGAGCTTGGCTCTATTGGTAGGCAAGCACATGCCGAGTAGTTCAGCACAGTTTGGGGCAGAAGAGCCAAAAAGGATGTACCTACGCCCATGCTCATCATTAAACTAAGTTCAAATAATGACTGTGCCCAACACGGGGTTGTCTGGCTGCCGTTGAGAAGAGGTTGGCCACGGCAGCGATGCCCGCCGAGCCCTGGGTGCAGGTGGGGGTTCTGCATCTCCCTGAGACACCCACCCCGCAGCTCTCACCCGCAAACAGAGATCAGGACACAGAGAAGATGTCAAGGATGGAGGGGTGGGGTTAACCCCAGTACTTTCCCATGTAGGGTGTCTAATAAATACCAGCCCCTCATCAGCCCCGTGGCTCTTGCTGAGTCCAGGGGTCCGTGGCCTGGCTGCACGGTGCCACCGAGCGGAGCCCACTGCGCCGGAGGGAGAATTGCCACGACATGCCACCCATAAGGGTGGGTTTGGGGGGAAGTGTGCCTGAAAGAAAAAAGGGGCAACCCGAGATGACACCCCTCAATGCCAAGGTAAACATTAATCTGCGCCCAAAAATGCCTATTTGGTCAGTTCAGTAGGAGAAAGCTTGAGCTGTGAGTGTTTATTGGTTTTCCTCTAATTTTGTGTGGAGCAATGCTTTTTTAGACCTGCCAGGGCTCTGGGTTCCTAAGATATCTCTGGTGTAATTCTGCTTCGCTTCGCTGCAGTTACACTGGAGGTGGATTTGGCCTTTTAATCGTTTGGGGATTGCTGATCGCTCTTGGGCGTGCTGCTTGCTCGGCAGATTTTCTGGAGGACTGGAATTTCTTGTGGAATTCTGTTCTGTGAGGCAATGGCTGTGTGGGCAGGGCGTCCTCTTCACCATCGGTCTGAGCACAGCCATTAGAGGATGTGCTTTTGATGTCGTTGCTTAATTGGCAATCACCTCTTCGCCTCTGCCTCCTTCAGGCTCACTTTTTGGCTCATCACTTCCACAGCTTGTCACTACAGAGAAAGCGGAGTCGTGACTTTCCCCTGAATGTAAATAGGCTATTTTCCGTTTAATTAATATTCCTATTTTGTAACAAGGCAATCAGTAGAAGTGAGTAATATATGCTTTTTTTTTTTTTTTTGGCCACAGATATTAATCTGATACCACTGCAGTGCAGGAAAGCATGGCAGGCAATGAGGGGAAGGCAGTGGAGCAAACACAGCACTTGCTGTCCAGAAACAGAGAATCCTCAGTCAAGGGCCCGAATTCATCTCAACCCAGCAGGAAAAACTTTCTTTTACAAAGGTTTATATTGGCAGCTCTCAGCATGACAGTTCCGTGGCCTGAAATACAGATTCCTGATGAAACAAGAGTGAGGTAGGAATGCAAAGGAGGTCTGAGGGCCACCGACCAGAGAAGGAATGGAGACAGTGAATATCAGAGGTAGAGAGTGAGAGAAAGAGGGGCTGAGGAGGTGGTGAAGGAGGGATTCTTAGCAAGAGAGTTGGAAAAGGACTGGAGGTAAAAGGCAGAACTTCAGACATCTGGATAATCACAAAACATCAAACTTGAGAAGGCCTCTTTTCGGAAAGGAGAAAGCTTGTAGTTCCTCTTTCATTTCTAAGTCCTACGTGACGTACTTACTGTTTACCTTTCATTGTCCTTCTTTCAGTAATTACGCCACTCAGAAGAAAATTCAATTGATAGATGTAGTGTGTGTTTAAAACTATTAGGAGTTGCAGGTATTAATTACTGTCTCTTTAGGTGTGCCACCTTGATTGTGGGCTGGGGCTCCGCTGTGCGATGCCCCGTGCGTGTACAACGCTCTGCGCAGGGGACAGCCCTGTCCCCTGTCAACTCCTGCAATGTGCAGTAAGAGCATGAAGTGCACGTGGATTCAGGGCTAACAAAAAAAAAATACTTGCTGAACGCCGAGCTGTGAGTGACCCTTGAAATGTAAAACGTGCCCTCACACGTCTTGCCAGAGTGATCACAGCTCTGTTTGAACTAGAACAATACACACCCGGCTGAGGATTATGCACAAAGGTAGGAGTATCTCCTGCTTCAAAGTCGGAGAACACTTTGCAAACTAGGACAAATATAATATCATATTATTCCCAAAAGGCAAGGAAGTATTCTGCTGGCACACATGAGGAGGAGAGAGAATAAAAGTGAATGCAGTCGGTGTTTTTTAAAAAGTACGTTGCAATAGTTAAAAAAATTCATAAAGTAATAAAAATCAAGCTTAGTGCCAGGCAGAACTGCTCAAAAAGATGCTTCAAGTGGCATTATCTACTGAATCGATGAATGGTCCAGTAAAAGATATTACCTCACCTTACAAACCTTGCTCTTTAATATTCTCAGGCTCTCTGAGCTACTTACATCATCACTGCCGCTAAAAAGGGAGGTGTCGGTATTTAATGTCACTTTTAAGAAATACAGTTCGGCTTCTCTTTGTGAGTAAGCTTAAAGGTAACAGAATCATAGCCGCTATGGCACAGCACTTCACCCTTCTTTTGGGGCAAATTCCTCTGGTCTCTAAGACAATCTAGTCCGTATATTTGTTAAATTTTTAAGCAGTGTTGCTTTAACATTACAAACACCAGAAGGATTAAAAGGATAACTAAGGATAATGGGATAATCTCTTGTCTTTCAAGGTGATAAAGAAGATCTCAGAATAAATACCAGTGAACTAAACCCAGGGTATTTTAGCAGAAAGAAAAATCAGAATTTCAGAAGAAATTCTTAATCAAAAGAGTAAGTGATATTACTTATTTAGATCTCTTGGGATTTCCAGGCCTAAAGTGCAGCCAACAGATGGCAAGTCTGAAAGAAAACTGGGCCAGTACTGGGAGGCTGATGCAACAGCATTTTACAGGTGATGTGGAGGAGTCACCCATGGAGATCTCTAATATTTATTCAGTCGAACAGCTTGTTGATTTCAGGATGGAAAAAAACCCCAAATTTTCTTATGCCTACACATCTCAGGCTGGAATTTGTCTTTCCCAGACAAATCTGGTACTTCAGATTGCAACTGCTCTACAAAAAAAAGCCATTGCAGGAAGTGCTTTAATTGGAAGGGATCGTTACTGACTGTTATTATCAGGTGTGTAAGGATAGGAAGAATTGTTTGATGATGCTGGGATTACTTTCTCCTGGACTCTCACGAGCTGTGAACACATTAAGATAAATGATTGTCACAGATGCTACAAATAGAAATGCCCCAAAAAAGCCCATGACAAATCTTAGGAGAATTCCAGTTTTGCAAATTCAGCAAGTGCAGATAAACGTCAAAAAACCTTGTATTTTTAAATTTTTATCAGAGCACA